AAGCGGCAAACGCCAGAAGGCAGCTGGAATTAGCCCTTCCCTCCTGCCCAGCCGCAGGCAGGAGCCGGCAGAGCTCGCTCCCAGCCGGCAGCTCCCATGGGCTCTGGGGCATGGGCAGACATCGCTGCCGCCCAGGCTGTACCCCACACACCAGCTCTGCTCCAGGAAAACCCCAGCTGGAAAGAGAACAAACCCCTGGGAAGTGAAACCACTGCCCGTGGCGAGCCCGAGCCAGGAGCAGCCGTGGCCATCTCCTGGGGAGGGAGCACACGGCCAGCACATGCCTTGCATGGCCACCGTGCCCTGGGCCGTGACACCAGGCTCTTCCACGCATGGTGGGAAGCGAAACCACTGCCCGTGGCGAGCCCAAGCCAGGAGCAGCCGTGTCCATCTCCTGGGGAGGGAGCACACGGCCAGCACATGCCTTGCATGGCCACCGTGCCCTGGGCCGTGACACCAGGCTCTTCCACGCATGGGGAGCACCACATCCTTGTACCCTCCCCCATCCCATCCCTGCCTGAACCCCACGGCTGGGCCAGCGAGCCTACAGCAGGACCCTGCTCATGCTCCGGGCCCAGGGAGCCCTTTGGGGACACCTTACCGGGGCCGGCAGCAGCTCGGACCTGGCTCTGGCCGTTGGGACACGGAGCAGCCCCCGGTCCCGTGCGAGCTCCCGGCAGGTTTGGGCACCAAAGCACAGCTCGGGCACGTTTGGTTACTTTTTTGGCTTTTTCTGCACCCCCAGCGCCTTTCCCTGCTCCCACCTCACCCTCCCCCGGCGTGGTTTGCCTGCGCTTAATAATATTTTCATGAGTGTTTTAGGTCTGCGCTCGGGGAGTCTCAGGGGATGTTTGTGCATGACATCACCCTCCCCCTCCTGTAAATCAGGCACTGGGCCATGAACAGCCATGACCCATTCATGACAGGGATAAAATCCAGATGTTCCAGTGCTCCATGCAGCTGGGTCATTTCCTTTTTTGGCTAAAAACGTGAGGCTCTTGAGGCTGAGTGAAAGAGGAGCCCGGGGGCCCTTTGTACAGAAACCTTTTGTGGTTAATCCCTGGAAACAGCGCTGCAGAAACAAGGGTTTGTGGTGCTCCAGCTGGAGGACTGGCTCAGCTGGGAACCTCCCGGGCTGGAGCTCCTCACCCGCCCTCTGAGGCCGAGCAGCAGCAAAACCAGAGCCCGGCGTGGGTCACAGGGCAGCAACAGCAACAAAAACCTTTCTCGGAAAGCCCTGTTTGTGCCAGAGCAGGAGCCTTTGAAGGAGCCAGGAGTTTCCTGCACAGAGCCAGCAGTGGTCCCGCAGGGGCTGTGCCCGTCCCACGGGGCTGTGCCCATCCCACACAGAGCTGGTGGGGTCTCACAAGCTGTGCCCATCCCACACAGAGCTGAGGTGGTCTCACAGGCTGTGCCCATCCTGCACAGAGCTGGTGGTGGTCCTGCAGGGGCTGTGCCCGTCCCACAGGGCTGTGCCCATCCCACACAGAGCTGGTGGGGTCTCACAAGCTGTGCCCATCCCACACAGAGCTGAGGTGGTCTCACAGGCTGTGCCCATCCTGCACAGAGCTGGTGGTGGTCCTGCAGGGGCTGTGCCCGTCCCACAGGGCTGTGCCCATCCCACACAGAGCTGGTGGGGTCTCACAAGCTGTGCCCATCCCACACAGAGCTGAGGTGGTCTCACAGGCTGTGCCCATCCTGCACAGAGCTGGTGGTGGTCCTGCAGGGGCTGTGCCCGTCCCACAGGGCTGTGCCCATCCCACACAGAGCTGGTGGGGTCTCACAAGCTGTGCCCATCCCACACAGAGCTGAGGTGGTCTCACAGGCTGTGCCCATCCTGCACAGAGCTGGTGGTGGTCCTGCAGGGGCTGTGCCCGTCCCACAGGGCTGTGCCCATCCCACACAGAGCTGGTGGGGTCTCACAAGCTGTGCCCATCCCACACAGAGCTGAGGTGGTCTCACAGGCTGTGCCCATCCTGCACAGAGCTGGTGGTGGTCCTGCAGGGGCTGTGCCCGTCCCACAGGGCTGTGCCCATCCCACACAGAGCTGGTGGGGTCTCACAAGCTGTGCCCATCCCACACAGAGCTGAGGTGGTCTCACAGGCTGTGCCCATCCTGCACAGAGCTGGTGGTGGTCCTGCAGGGGCTGTGCCCGTCCCACAGGGCTGTGCCCATCCCACACAGAGCTGGTGGGGTCTCACAAGCTGTGCCCATCCCACACAGAGCTGAGGTGGTCTCACAGGCTGTGCCCATCCTGCACAGAGCTGGTGGTGGTCCTGCAGGGGCTGTGCCCGTCCCACAGGGCTGTGCCCATCCCACACAGAGCTGGTGGGGTCTCACAAGCTGTGCCCATCCCACACAGAGCTGAGGTGGTCTCACAGGCTGTGCCCATCCTGCACAGAGCTGGTGGTGGTCCTGCAGGGGCTGTGCCCGTCCCACAGGGCTGTGCCTGTCCCACACAGAGCTGGTGGTGGTCTCACAGGCTGGCCCATCCTACAGAGGTGAGGTGGTCTCACAGGCTGTGTCCATCCCACACAGAGCTGGCGGTGGTCCCACAGGGGCTGCGCCTGTCCCACGGGGCTGTGCCTGTCCCACACAGAGCTGCTGGTGGTCTTACAGGCTGTACCCATCGTGCACAGAGCTGGTGGTGGTCTTACAGGCTGTGCCCATCCCACAGAGAGCCAGCAGTGGTCCTGGAGGGGCTGTGCCCATCCCACACAGAGCTGAGGTGGTCTCACAGGCTGTACCCATCCCACACAGAGCTGGTGGGGTCTCACAGGGGCTGTGCCTGTCCCCCCACCCCAGCAGCACCCGCAGGGGGAAGGGAGCGGGGAGCCGGGGCCCAGAGGAAGTCGTGGCAGCTGTTAGTAAATGTAAAGGAATCTGTGGAAAACAGTTTCAGATGTTAGGGGAATAAAGGGCTCCCTGGCTGATAGAAGTGAGTAATGAGCATGCACCGCTTGGGGGAAGGCTGCCAGGAGGAGACAGACCACTGCTACCCTGGCTGGAGACAACGGCAACTTCCCCACCAAACCCTCCTGAGAGGCTCCGTGGGCAGCTGAGTCGGAGCCAAGAGCCAGCCCGGAGGCACTGTGGCTGGCACCAGCACCAGCCGAGTCCTGCAGCCTGCCTGGACAGACAGCAGGCACGGACAGACAGACAGACAGGAGCCCTGGCAGCAGCCCCACAGCAGGAAGGAGCTGCTGTTCCTCGCCATGGCACTGGGTACAGCCGATGCCGGTCGTGGTTTGGGGAGGCAGGAGCACTACGGGGATCCCCCATCCCCAGGAGGGGTTGGGGACAAGGACAGGGCTGAGCACGGAGCAGCGCGTGGTTTGGGGAGGCAGGAGCACCACGGGGATCCCCCATCCCCAGGAAGGTTTGGGGACAAGGACAGGGCTGAGCACGGAGCCACGGCACCGACTCAGACAGTGCTCTGCCCTGTGCCCGCTGTTCCAGAAACACGTGAGAGCCAGCATCACTAAAACAGTTTATTATATAAAGCCGTAGGAAATACAGAGGAGGCTGAAGTTTAGGACACTTCCTTCTGGAGATTCCTCAGAATAGCAAACACACAAACTCTGATTTGCCTGCATCAAAGCTTTCAAACAAGGATTCAACAAGGATCTGCATACAGAGTTAATAACACTTCAGCATGCATAACATTTTCTGTTCCTAAGTGAAGCCTGGGGGGGGGGGGGGGTACCCCCTTCACCCCCCAGTGG